AAAAAATGTGAGTTCGAAGAAAGGTAATAAATTCTAAAAAAATCATAAATTTGAAGAAAAAGAAATTTAAAAAACCAAGAATTTTGAGAAAAGAATTAGGAATTTGAATTTGATAAAATATTCATGATTTTGAAAAATTATTGCAGATTTTAAAAGTTTATGAATTTGAAAAATTGTCCATGAATTTGAAAAAGATCATGAAAGTAAAAGATGTCCATAAATGTTCATGAATTTGAAAAAAATCACCACTTTAAAAAATGTTTACAAAAATTTAAAAAAGTCACGTATTTAAAAATTATTCATCATTTTTGCAAAAGTTCACAAAATTAAAATGAAAAATAAAAGAAAAGAGAAAAAAATAAAGGAGAAATTAATATGAAATTTCTTCTCCCGTCCATCTTCCCTGCCATTCTTCGCCGCCATGGAAGCCCCCCAGCCGTCCCCCGTCACCGTGGAGGTCGCGCACGTGCAATCCCTTCCGGCGGATTTCGTCGCCAGCCATGTCGCCCCCGCCGTCGCCCAAGGCCCCAACGCGCCTGCTCGCAAGCGGCAGGGCAATGTTGTCGTGCAGGGCGGCAATCCGGCTGGCCCGCCGAAAAGGCGCGTGCACCGGGTGCCGCTACTACCGCGCGATCTTCCCGCCCACCGGCGGAGAAGGTGAGCAAGGTTTCAGGCGTGAAGCGGAAGAAGGTTCCTACAAAAAGGTCGGCACTTCGTCCACTCCCTCCGCCACGGCGAGATATTCCCCGACGATGTCGTTTAACGACGCTGCTTCCACCGCAAGCGAGGTATTCGATGAAATGACCGGAAGGTATGCATCTTTGATCTCTTGTTCTTGCTTCGCTTTTCGGCATTGTGGTTGTTCTTGACTTGATGTCTCTCAATGTAGCGATGGTTTGAACAATGCCACTGTTGAGTTCGTGAACTTGTTGGACACCAACACCGTCGACATCGATAGGGCCCCATTCGTTGATTTAAATTGTAATGAAATGGAGGGTGGCGTGGATGATCATGGTGGTGAAGATGAAGTGGAGGAGGTAGATGGGGGGCGTATGAGGAAGCGCAAGCAAAAAAAACATGAGATCGAAGAACTACATGATCTTGGAAGATCAAAACTTGATCAAGGCTTGGAGTGTGGTGTCTCTTGATGCCTGCACGGGTACATCTCAAACCTCCAGGAGATATTGGCAAAGAATCGAAGATCAATACTTCCGCATAATGGCCAAGCATCCCAATAGGACACCACGGACCTTTCGGCCACTCCAAGGGCATTGGGACGTGATCAAGCCGATTTGCAACCATTGGCCAGCTTGCTTGGAACAAGTACGCAATGCACCTCCAAGTGGAACCGTGGCATCCGACTGTGTGAGTTCGTTTTCACGTCCCAAATTGTGCATGTCATTTTGCATCATATGAAGTGATTGCATCATTTGACTTTGTTTAACTTGTGTAG